GAAATCCCACTGTCTTCTCTCTATGTAACTCTGGTTTTCTAAATGAATGGAAGAATAAATAAATAAATAGCCTCCCCCCTCTTTTCGTAATTCAGGAGCCTGGCATGGAGGCCTAATGGCTAAAGTCCTCTCCTTACATGCCCCAGGATCCCGCATAGGTACCAGTTGTATCCTGGCTGCTCCACTGCCCTTCCAGGTCTCTGCTTGTGGCCTGGGAAAGTAGTTAGGGATGGCCCAAAGCCTTAAAACCCTGCACCTGCTTGGGAGGCCTGGAAGAAGCTCTTGGCTCCTAGCTTCAGATTGGTTCAGCTCTGGCTTTTGCGTTCACTTGGGAGTGAACCAGTAAGTGGATAGAAGATCTTTCTGTATCTGCTCCTCTCAGTAAATCTAGCTTTACAATTAAAAAAAAAAAATCTTTAAAAAAAAAATTAGACCTTTGGAACTGGCATTGTGTCTATGGCTTAAGCCACTATTTGTAACATTGGCATTCCCTATCGGAATGCCAGTTCAAGTTCCACTATTCTGTGTCCAGTCCAGCACTCCTGCTAACACACCTGGGAAGGTAGTGGATAATGGTCCAAGAATGGGGAATCTAGATGGAGCTCCTCGTTCCTTATACTAGCCTAATTCAGACCCAGCCATTGTGACCATTTGGGAAATGAACCAGCAGATGGAAGGTCTCTCTTCTACTCCCTCTCTGATATTTCAATTTTCAGTGATATAAATCTTCTAAGAAAATTTCAGATCTGTTGTCATGCTCAAAAGTGTCATAGAGTTTATATTCTTTATTGCTGCAATGTACTTTTCACGCATCTTGCACCGTTGGCATTATCTCACTATTCCAGGAGAACGGGATAACTTCCCAGTGCATCCTTGATTCATCTCCAATAACTATAATAGCAGGGCCCCAGATCTACTTTCCTCTTAGAACATTTTGGAAGTCAATATGCAATAACAATCTGCTGTGCTTCAAAGAATTCCTCGTCCTGAATCAGTCTCTTCTGCCACCCGGACTAAGGACGATTACCAGAGCAGGCAATGCTGCTCCGTACACCCGGAACTCACAGGATCTTTCTGAAGGTTCCCTGCAAAATGCATTGTTTATGGAATTGCCAGTTAAGTGGAGACTGGGCTGCATTTGAGGCAGAATGGGGACATCCAGTGGCCACACATGTTGATAACAACTGAATTGATATGACTTCAACATAGACTCTTGTGTTTCAAAGGATCTTAAAGGAGTTCTACTTTTAATAACTTTTTAAATTATCGCAAATATATCCCAGTCATATTACATGCATCCACAGTAAAGTTGGCAAGTGTTATCTCTCCAAATAATAGCATTTGTGAACACCTGAGTCCTAGTCCACTGATCCACACTCTCAGTCACATTAATGATAGCATTAAGTTCTTCTACCTCTCCCAAAAATATCTGCACAAAATAGGCTGTTGGGCTCTGTCCATTGACACAGATGACCTTCTGACTGCTGATGTGCAGAGTTCACCAATATTTAAAGGACCCTTCCTTTGCACAGAATAAAGAAAAATGAAAACGTTTGAGGAGGTCAAGAGGTCTCATTGACTGGGTAGTATAAAAAGGGAATTGAAATATTGCAGAGAAGAAAAAAAACACATATGTCTTCCCAGAATAATAATAAAACCTGGTAGTGCTCCGAGACATTTGGCTAGCCATTAAATGATGTGTATATGTTGTTCTTCCAGAATCCATTTTAATTACTAAGACTGTAGTGTTTCTTATTATCATTGAGGAAGTTTTGAAATTGTTTAAAATGGCATTTCAATCCTTGTCAAGAGAGGACAGGTAAAGATAAAGGCTGTCGTGAACAAATTGAGGGCAACGAATCCCCAAGGAGACAATCTTTGGAACACCCACTGCTACATCTACTCTGGGTAACTTACCAGGGAGCAGACACCCTCAGACACATCTACCTTTGAGTCTTTCTCAGTCCGAGTGCATAGTCCTGTCATGTACAACCCATGCCGTAAAACCTCAAGGCCTTGCTTTCCAGGGCATTCTCTAACCTCTCTTAACATTCCTTCTGCCAGCAAACCTGTATGATCATGGGACTTACTCCCAGAGAGATGACCCTTTTGAAATGAATGGTGAAAGAACAGACGCTTATTCACGGTGCTCCAGAGAAACTGTGTCCTAACAGAAGACAACGCCTTAACACATAAAAAGAACATCACACAATGTTAGAATTACAGGCATCATGGCGACTGTGTAAGCTATTCATCTCAGAATGCTGTAAATCCTACCCTATAGACTCTTGTTTTAAAGACATTCAGTCTCAATTCCCAGCTATTAGAAGTAATTACAAGAAACAGAGTCCTGTTCTCTGGCATCCTCATCGGTTGCAAGATTTGGGGTTGAAAATAGTAGGTTGAGGCACATGCCTTGTACTTAACCCTGTTCTCATCCACTTTGACCTTGATCGTGAAACTCACATTGACATTCACCACCTAATGATTTTACCAAATCATATCTCCTTTTTTGAGATGTTGGAGACCCACCATCTCTTTTTTGTAGTAACACAGTTATGGTTAGTGTTGGTTTAGAAAGACAGAGAGCCAAGAGGTCACTATTCCTGCCCTAACGCTCCCACTCACTGAGACCATGTTAACCAATGCAGTAATCTTCAAGATGAGTCAGATTTCTCATCTCACTTCCTTGTTGGTAACAAATCCATCTGAGCATTGTTATGACTGTTCATTTGTCTGACACCTTGGTATCTTTGTGTAACTTCCTTCTAAAAGAAAGAATTATAGAAGCATCGGTATCAAAAAGAACTTCGGAATTTAGGAATGTGTATGTCATCATTTAGGCTACAGATACAAGCGTACAGCACTAATATCTCATTGAAACAGCAAGCATTTACCTTGGCAGTTCCAGCACTAGTCAAGACACCTGTATTCCACACCAAACAAAACAAACAACAACAAAACCCCTAAAGTCCTCTCCTAACTCAGGTTCCTGATTCCTGTTCATAAGCCCTGGGAGGCAGCACTAATAGAGTAACAGATCCTGCTGCCCACTGGAGGAAGGTACATTGAGTTCCTGGTTGCCAGCTTGGACCTGAGCTAACCCCCACCACTTGGGTGGAGAATCATCTCTCTCTCTTTCTCTTCTTCTCTCTCTCTCGTCCTATCCTTTTTCCCTCTTTATTTTACTACAAAATAAATAAATAAGAAATACTTAGTGATCTATCATCCTCCAAGCTCTGACAGCATTGTATCATGCCTCTCAACTCCCATGAGACTCAGAAAAGGGGAGAAGAAAATGAGACCTAGGAATCCTACATCCCCGCTTTCTACTTGAAACACAAATTGCAATTATTTCCGAAAAAAGAAAGCACCGAAAAATGAGCAGTGATACTGCTCACGTTGTGGTTCTCAACAGTGTTCCGTAACATGCGTTTGAAGTTCTTTTTTACTTCTCTCCTGCCAACAGAGGAAGAGGAGGCAGATCAGCAGTGAGGGATGGTGCACACATTTGCTTTCTCTGTCTTTTAAGAGCCATTCCATTTCTTGCCTGAAGTTTAACTTGATTATGCATTCATTAAAGACGAGTGATGGCGATGATTAAACAAAAACATCTTTAAAATGCAGAGTTCATTTCAGCCCATTTGGTTTTGTTACACACAAATTGGATTTGCATTGCATCCTGCACAGCAGGTATTCCACTTGAAATCAAAGACAGATGCTTTTATGGGATTAAAAAGAAAACCTAGGGGGAGGGGGGAGGGCTGGAGATTGAGATATTTTGCATTTCCGTAATAATGGCTCCAAAATGAAATAGTGATCATATTGCTGCTTTATCCATAGAAGTGTTTGGGCTATAATTAAAAGGAAACAAGAACCCCTATCCTAACTGGAATCATGTCAAAGAAGAACATTTAATTTGCTAGGGGAAAAAATGATTTTTCCCATAAATGTCTAATAATACCTTAGCATATTTGAAATTTAATCATAAGTGGCTTAGAATTAAACCATTTGAATTATTACTGAAACATTTCAAGTGGTGACATTAAACGCTTTGTTTGAAATTAGCCATTAATTCAAAAGTCTTCTCTGGAGCTGCTGCGAGAGTTTAATGCCTTGTCTGTAAACAGAAACCCCTGGTTCTACACTGTGTAATTAATCTTCATACTTCTAGAATTCTCACACTGTGGTTATTTACTCTGGTACCTTCAGTTATGTGACTCTGGACAGTTTAATTTTATACTCGATATCATACGCTGTTTTAAAAATTTATACATTTTTCAGCTTATTGAGCATCTGTTGGGAGTTGTGTTAAGTGGGGGGAAAAAAAACCAAAACCCTGACAGAGCCTCCATTTGACTCACTCTTCCATTACATACACCAGGAAATACACACACACACACACACACACACACACACACACACACACACAGAGTAAATATGGTTAATCTCATACAATGCCTTGCAGAATATCCAACTTTTTAAGGGGTTGTATTAGAATTTTTTGTCTATTAGATAATTATGTCTTATGGTAAATTGATTGTACTAGTAGCCACAATGATTTGCCTGCCCCCCACCCCCATCTATCTTCTTTGCAATGTGAATCTGCAGGCCTTCTCGTGAAGAGCTTACATTTATTCCGCATCTAGGCTATGAATTTGGCTGTGCTTATAATTTGCTTCAGTCCTTGGTATTTGATGAAGAGTGGAGTACCAGTTATAAGCTTAGGCTCCAAGCTAGTGGTACAGTTGACACTTGACTCTGATAACGAGTCCTAGCTAGACTGATCAAAGAGAGGAGAGGAGAAGAGAGGGGAGGGGAGGGGAGAGGAGAGGAGAGGAGGCATAAATATATATATATATATATATTTATTTATTTATTTATATTTATATATATATAAAGATGACCACATGTGATAAAGGATTTGCTGCAAGGAAAAATCAGTGTCATCCTTAACTCTTTTAACTGCATTGAAATATTCACATGAAATATAAGCTTACCATTTCAAAATCTGCAGGAGGATAATTCCACAATCAAGATTGGGTATCACTTGCCACTGGTGTGCAGATCTCCAAAGACAAGCATATTTCCCCAGTATATTGAACCACGGAAGTGGACAAAAGTTTAGAGATCCTCTTAATGGCTCTGTTCCTTCACACAGAGATCTCCAATTCAATTTCTCTGAAAGGCAGATTAATTTTAATGAGTAACCAATATTTAATGCGCTCTTACTAATTGCAAGATCATTTTATAATTATCATCTATCTTTTAGTTCTTGTCAAAAATTTTATGAGATACATTCCATTCTCAAGCTGGGGAAAATGAGCTCAAAGAGATTAAGCAACAGAGTCATAAAGCATGTTACTCAGACGTGGGGGGCATAGAATTCAAACTTGAGTCTATTTTCTTCACTGTAGGACTACTATGCTGTTAAAATCCAGGACCATTCAATGATAAAGCACACTGCCATCTGGTGAGGTGAGCTCTCTCTGCCTCAGAAATACTCCAACCGAAACAAAACATCTGCAGATTCATAGAACAGTTCAAGTGCCAATCCACCAAAATTCTAATTTCCAATGATTGGATTTATTTCCAGCCTTTAAAACTAAATAGAAAACAACCTCCCTTGCCCATAATAGATCTTTGAAGATTTGACCCTTTGCTTTTTTTTTTTTTTGCCTTATGGTACATAGGTCTCAGCCTCCCAATGGAAATTCTATGGCCTCTCTGCTACCTTTTACGTCATTTCAGTACAGAGCCTGGCCAGCCTTTGCAGAAGTAAGATAGCACTTAGCTTTTAAATATGCTCAAGCTCTACGTAGCTAATTGATTAGACTATTTTAAGTACAAAAAAAACCTATGCAAATTGATAGCCAATTTTGAGTTACTAAAATAACAAAGCTTTTCAAGCTATCCAACATACACGCAATTACACTTTTTTTACTTTATGTAAGTATACATAAGGCCATTGTTAATATCTGCAAGTGCACAAGGGTCTTGCATATTTCCAGATATGAAACAACATTTTATTAGCTTAATCATAAGCATACAAACCCCAGAAATAGAACAAATTCATTTATTTTCCCGCATAGATTTCCATTCAGAATCTTCCAAGTGTCTAGCATCACTTCTCCTGGGTGATCCATTCTCAAAACTCACCCTTCGTTTTAGCCATATATCTGGATCTGGAAGTCGCAACGCCCATGTTCTTAGCTTCACTATGGCTCTGCTTCCAGTCCAGCCCCCTCCTAATGCTTCAGGGAAAACAACGCAAGAGCTTGGCCCCTTGAACTCATGTAGGAGATCTGAAGCTCCTAGTTCCTGCTTTCCACCTGATTTCACCTTGACCATAATGCCAATTTGGGAGACACCCAAGAGATGGAAGACCTGTGTGTGTGTGTGTGTGTGTGTGTGTGTGTGTGTGTGTGTGTCCCTCTATTTCTCTGTAGCTCTGCCTTCAAATATATAAAGTAAATCCTAATAAATAAAAAAGAGGCAAAAAAATCTCCATCTTGCAAAAAATGCCCAGATTTCATTAAGGAACTTCAATGATTGTTTTTACCAACGAAATATCTGCCTTTTCATTAGCTTTCGTTTTTAATAAGTTTTTATCAATGCTTATCAGCATTTTTGCATTGATATATGACTACAGCTCACTTTCTTGTGTTTCATTCACTCGTATTTTATTTGCTATCCTGGACTTCATTCTGATGTTTTATGCATATAAGCCTAGACTGCTGGTGAGTTCTCAAATTAGTCTGTGATAATTTTAAGTCTGTATTTTTAACAGTTGGCATTTAAGTTTTCCTTGAATTTGCAACAGTCTGACCAAAATGACGCTGGTGAGTTTAAACACCCCGGTAATAATTCTAGCACTGACTCTCTACTCAATGAAACTCAAAATTTCTCAAGGACAATAGTAAAAATACATAAATGTACCAGACACTTGCCAAATGAAAATGGTTGATAAGGTTTGTGTGGGTGTTGCTACCCAAGCCAGCACATGTTTATCATATGTATGTACAGAAAATGTTTATTTCACTATAATTGGGGAAGTCAGATATACAGAGAGGAGGACAGACAGGAAGATCTTTCATCCACTGATTTACGCTGCAAGTGGCTGTAATGGTTAGAGCTGTGCCAATCTGAAGACAGAAGCATGGAGCTTCTTCCAGGTTCCCCACGTGGGTGCAGGGTCCCAAGGCTTTGTGCCTTGCTCCACTGCTTTCCCAGGCCACAAGCAGGGACCTGGATGGGAAGTGGAGCCACCAAGATTAGAACTGGCACCCATATGGGATGCTGGCATGTGCAGGGTGAGGACTTTAGCCACTAGCCTACCACACTGGGCCTGGGATACAATTTTTTAATGTCAACTCTATTGAGATACTATTTGAAAACTAAAGTGCTCTCATTTTAAGTGTATAATTTGATGAGTTTTTGAGAGAACACTATCAAGGAACTATCACGTAAATCAAAATAGAGGACATTTCCAAAAACCGTCCTCTTTAATGCCTTATCAGTTCATCTGATTCCTTTTCACACCCAGGCAACACTGATCTTGTCTGTTCCAGTGAATTATTTTTGCCTAATCTAGATTTTTTTCACTTCTCTTTTGGATCTAGTTTCTTCTCAAGATTGTTTTATGATTCATCCATGTTGCTATGTCAGTAATATGTTCATTTTTATTGTTACCCATTCATCTATTGATAGTCAGTTGGTCCATTTTTAAGAAGCTGTTATGAACATCAATATACTAACTTCTCAGGAGACACATGTTTTATTTCTTTTGAGTATTACCAGAACTAGAATTGCTGGAAATAAGGTAAGTGCATATTTTACTTTACAGGAGTAAAATTTCTTCCAGAATGATTGTGCTGTTTTACATTCCTAAAAGCAAAATGTAAAAAGTTTAGTTGATCCACGCTCTCACTAGCACTGGGTACTGTCTTTGTTTGTTTGTTTTTTCATTTTAGTCATTTCAGCTGGTGTGAATCAGGATTTCATTTTGGTACTCTCTCCGTAAATATGACTTTCCAATAAAAATTTTTAAAATACATAAAAATAAAAAATTTTAAAAAAAAATCTTTATCTTACTTTTTCTTCTAGGGAAAAAGTTTATCATTTAATTACCACTTTCTTTCTTTTTAATGGAAAGTCAGATTTGCAGAGAGAAGGAGAGATAGAGAGAAAGATCTTCCATCCACTGATTCACTTCCCAAATGGCTGCAACAGGCAGAATTGAGCTGATCTGAAACCAGGAGCCAAGAACCTGCTCCAGGTGCAGGGGTCCCAAGGCTTTGTACTGTCCTCAACTGCTTTACTAGGCTACCATGCTGGGCCCTGATCACTGTTTTTTAGGTCTTTTTTTTTTAGTGTTGTAGAAAAACTGGTCAATTTTTTTCCATGCAACTGTCAAGTTGTTTTTTTTGTTTTGTTTTTGTTTTTGTTTTTAAGTACTATTTGGTCAAACAAATAGTCTTTCTTCATTGAATGGTCTTGGCACCTTTGAGAAAAAAATCAACTGTCAAAATATGCCCTGCCTTTGCACTATTGCTTCCATCTGTCTCTGTCAGTGTGCCAATATCACCCTATACTGAATACTATGATAATGTACTAAAATGGCAATACATCTATTGATTACTCTGGTCGATGTTTTGTCTTTCAGATTGTGTATTTCTGTTAAATTTTAGAATCAATTGATAATTTTCTATAATAATCTCACTCATAGATTTTTATTGACATCTCATGACTCTACACACAGATTTGAGAAGAATTGCTCAACCATGGTGAATCTTCCACACTATGGACATAGTCAATCTTTCCACATATTTAGGGCTTTGTTGATTTCTCACATCAGGGCTGCTCAACTCTCAGTGCATAGCTTGGCATATATTTTAGCAAGTTTATGCTACATATTTGAGGAATTATTAACCACAGTTTTCAAATGAAAGAGTAGGATGATGAGAGAGATTATGTAATTCTTCCCAAGTCACACAGCCAACAAGTGGTAGAGCCAGGATTTGAATCCAGAAGCGATTGAATCAAAGACCATGTTTTTAACCACTGAGACAGGAATCCTCACAGCAAAAATACAAGAGGCAGTTGAACCAACAACGAAGTTCTTTTGTTGTTGTTGTTGTTGTTGTTTTTAAATCTCATGTATCCACTGTCCCACTGGGCATTCTGCTGTCTTGCTGGAAGAGGATGAGCAGGTCTGGGTAGTTTGGACAGCTCCCAAGGAGGCTCTGCCATAGTCTACTAGTTAACCACCACCTGGTGGAGATTTTTTCAGTAGGAAACATTCAGCATGGTCAATTTCAGCTGCCACCCTTTGAAGCCTTTGATTGCTTATTTCTAAAAATATCAAACCCGGAAAGACTTTAGCATAACAACGAGAACCTGACAGATATCATATTACCAGAAACCACCTCACACAAAGTAGAAATATGTATCTCTCCCACATTCTAAGCTCAGCTAAGCCTCTGTTCTATGGGGAAGCCCATAGTCCAGTTGTTTGAAATTGAGACTTACACTAATTTTCAATACCAGTAATGGCTTGATGCTCAACACTTAAGATTTTTTTCTTCACTCATTTTGCTTCAACCTATTTTGTGTCCGCACCCCCCTCCCATCCCCTTCTGCCTCTCTTTCCCACAATGAGCTGAATCAAATATTGATGGAAGCAAAAAGGAAAGAGAAAGGAATGGGGAGATGCATCACAGAGAAGGCGTGCTACATTTCTAGAAGAGAGAATCACAGTGTAGGGAAAATGTTCCCAGGGAAGCGTGCTCAGATACTGCTCTGAGAATACCACGCGATGTGCTTCTGGTGCGAATACCACAGGAACCGTGTAGCACAGATGTGTGAAAGAACAGAGTGACATCTGTGCCCTATGCATTAATTAGGGCAGGAGGGCAGGGAGTTCACAATTCAAAGCTGTTTGAATGGAAAGCAAACTTTTAGTGGATATTTGTTAGAATATCAATAATTTCCCAATTTTACTGTTCAGCCAGTCTACCTTGCACAACACCCTGACATCCTAGTTTTAGAGGATAAAGAGACAAGGCAGTGTTACACTAAAAAAACAGTGCATCTAGACTCAAAGAAGCTGAGTCAATTTACTGGCAATATGGCTTTCACCAGTCATTGATGCATGTGAATATATTCCTTTTATATACAAA